CCCTGGGTCTGTGTCCACCCTGCCCTGTGTCTGTGTCCACCCTGCCCTGTGTCTGTGTCCACCCTGCCCTGTGTCTGTGTCCACCCTGCCCTGGGTCTGTGTCCACCCTGCCCTGGGTCCGTGTCCACCCTTCCCTGTGCCTGGGGTTTTGGAAAGGTGGGCTCATCCCCTTCCCGCTTAGGCCAGTGGGCAACTCCTGGTTGGGTTTTCCAGTTCTGAGCCATGAGGGGCACTGTGTGAGATGGTTTCCATGTGTCTTGCCTGCCCCTCCCCATCCTCTATTCCTCTGCCCTGCTTCTCCTGACCAGCCTTCCTCTCCCTCCCTGTGGATCAATCTCTCCCCTCCATAATCTGTGCTGTTGATGCGTTTTTTCACATATTTTTTTTCATAAAAGTCTTTACTGCCTACTTCCTTATGAGACACGTATCCCAGCTCTTAAGTAGAACCATTTAGACCTTCCGAAGCAAATGACGTCTCAAAATGACGCCAGTGTCTGGGGCTAGTCCTTCCGTCACGGGGCTTCTAAAGTGAGATACTGACATGTGTGGCCAGCTGTCACTCCACACAAACCCAGGTTGAGAGAAGCAACCTGTGGTTTCAGAGTGTCCCGTCAGCCTCACACAGCCCCATGCGGCCCCATCCCCGGAGAAGCCCCTGCCTCAGAGAGTGGGAGACAAGCACAGGCTGGAGGCCACGGCCACCACACCCTGTCCCTAAGTTTGTATGTTTGCAGGGCTGGGGATGAGAGTGGCAGGTGCATGATGGGTACAGGGTGGATGGAAAATTGTGTGCTGCTCTGTTCGGGGCTGTGGATCTTACTCCATGTTTGAGGGCCAGAGCTTTCTGAGGTGGTTTGGTAACAGACAAACTCCACCCCTGCCCAGCTTTCCTGTCTTATCTAGTCTGCTCCTCTCTCCTTCCACAGCACGCTGCATCCCCACAGGCTCATTCACTGTGGAGTCTCAAAGACCTGGCACAGTCACCTCTCGGTAGAACGTCCCTGAAGGCATGGGCACATTTTCTTTTCAGAGAAATTGCTGTAAGATGGATGGATTCAGAGATGTTGTGACAACTGGTTCTGAATCTGTAGGAGACCCTCTGCGACTACGCTTGATCTGGGGAGTGGACCCTTATCAGCCGGTGGAGCAGGGGAAGGTGGAGAAGCTGACTTGACAAGTAGATAATTTCTGTTTGAAGCCTGTCCAAAGATAGCTGAGACTCAAGGGACCAAATCCCCGTCACCGGAAGAGCCCCGGATGGGGCCTGCATTATTGTGGATTTTCCTCTCAAGGCACTGACTGAGTTACAGCTCACCGGGAAGGGCCCAGGAAGTTGACCAAAGCCTTCAGTGGTCTTAGGACCAGTGAACAAAGCACAGAGTCCAGGGCCTGTTGAGGTGGAGGGTTCTGGGAAGCGATGGGCTTTCAGAAGCAAACACTGACTGTGAGTGCAGTAGCCTCCCCCACCACCCTCCAGGAAAAGCACAGCAGAAACTAGGTGGCCCTGCCTGCAAACTGACTCAATTGAACAGGGTAAGCTGTCCACAGGCTAACTGTTCACCAGAGACACAGACATCCCTTCTGAGCCAGATAGCAGAACCAGGGACTCAAGGGATCTTAGATTTTTTTGAGACAGGGTTTCTCTGTGTAGCTTTGGTGCCTGTCCCGGATCTCGCTCTGTAGCCCAGGCTGGCCTCAAACTCACAGAGATCCGCCTGGCTCTGCCTCCCAAATGCTGGGATTAAAGATGTGCACCACCACTGCCAAGCTGGGATCTTAGATCCCCCCTAACCCTCCCAAGCCCCCCCAACCCCCATAGTGAATTGTTGTCATTGGCCAAGCATTACCAGGCATTCTAGATGACAAGACCAGCTGATCAAGAGTCATGAAGAACAACCAAGAGGCCTGGACACTAGAACAGTCACACATGGACTCGAGACAACTGATGAGGGCTGGGGATGTAGCTTGGCGGCAGACCGAGTGCCTCGGATGCACAAAGCCCTGGGTTTGGTCCCCGGCACTACAAAAGCAAAGAGGGCAACTTCAGAGATGCCCTTCAAAAACAAAAGGGTAATCATAGCGATGTTCTCGTTTCTCTTCAGATCAAATGAAGCGTTTACCATGAAGGGTCAGTGACACACCTTTCAGGAAAATGGGGAGAAAGATGGAGATTTTTCCAGTGGCAACTGGCAGTCCACAAATGAGAACCCAATCCTAGGAATGAAGGGCACAGACGCTGAGATTTCAGTCTGTGGTAGATGAGGTTAACAGCACATCAGCCGAGGCCGAGGAGATTAGTGAAGGGAAGAGGCGATGGGTATGGTGACTGAATATGGGGTGTTGGGGGGGGGGCTGGAGTAGAGGAGATGGAGGAACAAGCAAAGGGGCGGCATGGGGAATAGTTTGGATCCCAGGAGAGACAAAGGGATGGCGGTGAGGTATTTGAATACAAACAGGCAGGGGCTTTGAACTGATGAAAGACGTTGATGCATGAGCACAAGCTGAGTGTATTCTAGGTGCATTTTAAAGAGCTGAGTGCAGCACTGCATAGGACTCCACGCATGCCCACACTGGGGGTGAACTATAGTGACAGTAGTCAGTAGGGGTGGGGAGAAACTATATGACTGACAGATGACTTCTTGATGGGACGGTGGAGACCAGGAGGCCATGGAAAGTATCCTTTCTCATCGGAAGGAAAACAGGTACCAAGCTAGAGCTCTACGCCCACAGAGAATGTCCTTGGAGATGAGGGCCAGACACCAACATCCTCAGGCACAGACTCTGGGGAAGCTTTGAAGTATTGCAGAGGAAGGTAAACTACGGGTAAACTGAGCAACTACCGACCGTATCGGACACTTCACTAACCTTTACTGAGGTTGAATAAGCAAAAGTGGGATGAGAATGTTCTGGTGTTAAAGGGCCTCAACACACTGCATTGTCTGAGGAGTAGTATGTCACATGGCTGTGCTGACATCTGTGTTCCAGAGTCCCAAATTCGTCCAAAAAAGCTGTTGTTTAAGCACTGTCCTGTGCTTAGTGGGGGCAGCGCCTGGGAACCAATCCAAGAGAAAAGAGAGGGAAAGCGGAGGAACAGAAATCCCATGCGTGCAACCCCAAATATGAAGCCAGGGGAGAAAGGGGACACAGCATTATGTGGCA